TCGCACGCCTAATTTAAATTAGAAATATTTCTCTTTAATTAATAATTTTAAAGTTATTTATACCTAGTTTTTTGTCTTTTCTTTTATTATCCAACATTCACTTTGAATATCAACTCCTTTTTTCATGAATAACGTACATATAGGCAACACATTATACACTACTTATGACAAATTTTCAGTTGTCGTTTGTCGTTTGTCGTTTGTCGTTTGTCGTTTGTCGTTTGTCGTTTGTCGTTTGTCGTTTGTAGTTTGTAGTTTGTCGTTTGTCGATTGTCGTTTGTCGTTTGTCGTTTGTCGTTTGTCGTTTGTCGTTTGTCGTTTGTCGTTTGTCGTTTGTCGTTTGTCGTTTGTCGTTTGTCGTTTGTCGTTTGTCGTTTGTCGTTTGTCGTTTGTCGTTTGTCGTTTGTCGTTTGTCGTTTGTCGTTTGTCGTTTGTCGTTTGTCGTTTGTCGTTTGTCGTTTGTCGTTTGTCGTTTGTCGTTTGTCGTTTGTCGTTTGTCGTTTGTCGTTTGTCGTTTGTCGTTTGTCGTTTGTCGTTTGTCGTTTGTCGTTTGTCGTTTGTCGTTTGTCGTTTGTCGTTTGTCGTTTGTCGTTTGTCGTTTGTCGTTTGTCGTTTGTCGTTTGTCGTTTGTCGTTTGTCGTTTGTCGTTTGTCGTTTGTCGTTTGTCGTTTGTCGTTTGTCGTTTGTCGTTTGTCGTTTGTCGTTTGTCGTTTGTCGTTTGTCGTTTGTCGTTTGTCGTTTGTCGTTTGTCGTTTGTCGTTTGTCGTTTGTCGTTTGTCGTTTTGAGGCTTAAGTACACGATGCTACTACCGGTTTAATTCCATCTTAGATACACCAATTTACTATACAAGAATTTTACTCGCACGAAGGTGTAGTGGGTGAGAGTTATAAAATGACCTGTTAGATTTTTACATCTGGAATGTTTGGGTCAAAGAAAGAAATAATAACCATCATTTCAACGTTGCTATTTTTTTAGCTTCGTAGCTAGGAAGATTAAAGACGGTTGTGACCAGGCGTCCTAGTAGTCATGAAAAACGGCTCGTGCACCATGTGAACGTTAAATAAGCGCTTCTGTTGGGTTAGCGACTCAACAACACCAGTGTAGTCAATCTTCTAGGATATCTAGTGCCTCTCTACAAGATGACTGAAAGTGAATTACTTGTGTTTACAGCCGAGCTAAATATATTAAAAAAGAATGAGTTAATTGATATAATTTTGACTCAGAAGATGCCAGCTTCAATTGTCTAATGTGCAACTATTGAAGTATATATCGGAAAAAATGATATATTAATAAAAAATTAAATTGAAATAAAATGAATTTAGCTCAAAGCCAGAATATCACATAAAATACAACGACCGTTTCCCCTTCAAAAAAATAACTACTCCTTTGGCTAGTACCACAACAGGCATTGAATTACATCCGAAGGAAAAACAGCAGAGATAGAAATTAATTTTCAATACTCTCTACTTTGATTTTGCTCACCAAGGAGAACATCATTCTTGGACCGATTTCGTCCTTATTAGGACTCCTCAGCAGGAAATAGATAGGTTCTCAATTCCAGTCTCTAATGGAATTAACAAATGCTACACATTTCGCCAGTATACCATAAAGTTGGTTACGGAGAGAATAAAATTCAAGTAGTGAAAATGGTGTCGCCATCTGTTCTTAGTAAGCAAAATCAAAATGCGCTATGGTACCCAGTTTGAAAACTAGGTGAAACCAAATAAACCAAGCGGGCAATTTGTAAACGATAATAAAATATCAAAACTCAAATGTGATAGATGCAAAATGAATTTAGCTCAAAGCCAGAATATCACATAAAATACAACGACCGTTTCCCCTTCAAAAAAACAACTACTCCTTTGGCTAATACCACAATAGGCATTGAATTACATCCGAAGGAAAAACAGCAGAGATAGAAATTAATTTTCAACACTCTCTACTTTGATTTTGCTCACCAAGGAGAACATCATTCTTGGACCGGTTTCGTCCTTATTAGGACTCCTCAGCAAGAAATAGATAGGTTCTCATAGGTTTATTTGGTTCCACCTAGTTTTCAAACTGGGTACCATAGCGCATTTTGATTTTGCTTACTAAGAACAGATGGCGACACCATTTTCACTACTTGAATTTTATTCTCTTCGTAACCAACTTTATGGTATACTGGTGAAATGTGTAGCATTTGTTAATTCCATTAGAGACTGGAATTGCGCATTGTAAAGTAATGTACTCTTCGGATAGTAATCAAGCTCTACCAGTTACTCCATCTACTAGATTTGACATTAAACCTATATACATGACTGATAATTCGGCTAGAAGTACAACACAACAAAAAATGTTCAATCAGGTTCAAAAAACAAACAACACAAACCCAGATCAAAAATTTTAGCCAATAAAACAACAAATTATATTGATGGAAATAAAAAAGAGAATTCCATTGGGAATCACATAAATAAAAATAGACAAATATGACTAATTGGTTGCAATGATGCACCAACTTTTAAAACAATACTGGGACAGGGTCATGTGCATGTTTCTCGTATCAGTGCAGAAATGTCCCCCGCTGACTTAATAAATTTTGTTGTGAAGAGTGGAATAGAACTGAAAAAACTTCGACTTACAAAGTATCGTTTCCCCTAGACCATTTAAATGAAGTTTACTTTCCTACAATCTGGGCAATAATAATAGGTGCTGCGATTAAAAGATTCCAATTCAAGAAAAATTTTCTTCGAGAGGAATCAACCGAGCAACAAACCTAGATATTATTTATTTATACGAACGACAAAAGTGCAAATTGCCGTAATTTAAATACTTTTAATGACTCGAATGTGTTTAGCGCGTTTCACTTAAATAGTCAAAGTTTGGCAAATAAAATTAGAGAAATTGATGTTTTTTTAACGACTTTCAGTTTGATATATTCTGTATTTCCAAAAGCTGGCTGAATGAGGCAGATTTACGGAGAATAAATATAGATGGTTTCTCACTGTTGGCTTATTTTTGTAGAACAGAAAAAATAATACAAATACAAAGGTGTAGCCATATTTTTGAAAAATAATATCAAGTTTCGTATTCTTAATTTGAATAAGTTTAATGTTGAACAAGGTTTAGAATTTTGTGAAATCGAAATTACTGCAACAAAAACTATAATTATAAGTCTGAATAAGTCTGGAAAGGGTGATATAAATTATTTTTGATAACTAGGGTGATAGAGCCTTACATTTTCGATCACAAAGTATATCACAATCAAAGATAAGGTTGAGCAAAGAAATTCTCATACTCTAGGATATTATCCAAAGTGGACTCATAAAGTTAAATAAATCTCTCTCAGATGTCCACTGACATAGAGATAATCATACTAGTAATGCAAATTTGGTTGCTTGCTGCATTGTAGACACTTAAGAAATTTAATACAAAAAAATTTCTCGTTGAAATCTAAATCTGTCAAGTCTAAAAATCCCCTGTTTTCTGCTCTAATGAACAATTAAAAGAGATGAGATGTACTTTATCTATTCTTAAATTAGTAACGAACTCTACTACAGAGACTTTTGATGCTTTTAAAGCAAATAAAAAACATTATAGTAGTCGTCCAAATATTAATAAAAAATCAGCATACGACAATTTTATAATCATTTCCATTAACACATCCAAAGCTTGTTGGCAAATAATTAATTTTGAAATAAATCATAGTCAGACTAGTAACAGTTTTTCAAACATATCATCAGAAAATTTCATTGAGTTTTTTACACACGTGGCTGACAATGTAATTAAGTCTCTTCTTACTGAGCCAAATATTAATTTACTTAACTTCAAAAATTATCCCACGTAGTTCTTTTTTTCTGTACCCAGTAACTGAATTGGAAATTTTCAACACAATGCCTTAAAAGATTCAAATTGTATGTTTAGCTAGTCAAGTTAAAATTGGTAAAATGAAAGTTTGAAGAAAAGAAAAGAATAATCGGGAAAAGAAAAATATCTAAAAGAAAAAATAAACTATATGAAATATAAATGAAAATGGGTGGCCTGTGAGAGTTATTTTTATAGAAAATTAAAAAAAAAATCCTCTAGTGAGTTAAATTCTCCTGAATATGTAATTATTAATTTTTTATGTCAAATTAATCTTTAATATTTTAGGCGAAAATCCGAAAAATCGGGATTAAAAGCACATGCTTCAATTCC